CGCTCTGCGGCTCTGTCCGCTGCGCCCTCCGGTCGAGGGAGAGGCAGCGAAACGCGCCTTTACAGCTGGAACGGTCTGTGCATAAGCTGGAGGCTCTCGAACTTGGGGGCGGCGAGGGATGATCGCCTTTCCTCCGGTTCAGGGTTACGTTTTAAACTCGACAGCGCAGCCCTTCCGAGGGGCTGGGGCTGGCCCGGCCCTTTCTCTCTCCCGGGGATGTTCCTTTCCTCCAGCCCCCCGCCTCTGCTTCCTTCTCCCCCGCTTCCCACAGGCAGCCCCCTGCAGTCTTGCTCTCCGCTCCGCCGTACCCTTGCGCGTTTTTCTCCTGCCGAGTCATGTTTACATACAGCAAAGAGATTGAGGAGATTCACACAATCACAGTATTTATATAATGACATTGCAGATAAGAATGAACAAACATTTTCTATTTGTGAAGCACTTTTATTAGAAAAAAACACCCCATTATGAAAAAAAACTTGTACAACAAATACCCTCTCTGAAGTTGGTCAGGATTTTCCAAGTTGAAATTGAAATCTGAGGGTTAGGTTTTTTGCCCCAAAGATCAGAACAGTTCATCCGAGTCATCGTTTTGTTCTTTTTTTCTAACCAGAATGTCCACGTTCAGAAGTTCTTGCAAGTATCTACATGAAATCCTATGACTGAATTTCATATCCCAAAGGATCAAGATCCTGGTCCAGAAGCATCAGAGAAGATTCCCTCAGCTTCTGTAGAAGCTTTCGGAGTTCTTCTTTTGAAAATACCTAAGAATAAAAAAAAACACATAATGAAGTGACATTTATTTGCAATGACTAGCACTGATATAAAAGTAAACGGCGGTTAGTCAAGTTAGTAACTTTTTTTTTCTTTCTGTTTAAGACAGTGTGAACATCAGACATTTCAGAACAGCATTTAGTCAGGGACTGGAAGCTAGCAGCAGTATCCCAAACCTGAAGGTAGTCTCAAGGTAGCTTGCTTTCATAACTACTCCAAAGATTATTGGTAAACAGCCAAGTTTAATTTTCCTATTACTGCTGACAGAGATCTTAAGCCAATCCAAGCGAATGCATCACAGTATTTTTCTTAGCCTTGATGTTTATTTACAGATTTCTAATCCCTGTTTTTTCTGGGGGGAGGGAGTGTTGTGGTTTATGTTTTTTTTGGTCGGTGGTTTGTTTTTTGGTTTTTTTTTTTAGTGATAAAGTTTTTTTGGGTTGTTTTTCAGGCTTTTGGAAGGAGAGAAGGTGAGGTAAACCAAGTGCTCCAAAACAAAACCTGCTTATACAATGTTCCAAAATGTAATAACAATTTAAAAAATCAATTCCAGTTCTACAGTTCAACTTATTAAAATTCAATAGACCCCACCCAAAAATCAGCAACTGCACTACTCAGAAGACCTGCTTGTCAAAACATCAGCATCATCTTCAGCGTTTCCAAGTTAATTCTTTGTTTCCTTAAGTTAGCATACAAGGAAAGCCTTTACTACCGCACTGAATGGGAAGAGATGAAGAAAGTTATGATGTTAAGGAACATATGGCATCTTCCTCTCAAGATAGAAGCTTTCTCCACAGCCAACCCACAGAACGTTTAATTGGAAGCTCAGCTGTCTGAAGCTCTCGCTCACTCACTGTATAAAGCTTGTGTCGCTCAGACGCGACCGTGTCAGCCAGCCGCAGGCACTCCTGATACTGTCCAGTACTATGTAACACCGTGTGCAGTAAAAAGCACATCATTGGCAGGCACAGCTTTCGCAGCAAAATCATCTGGTGTGTTCGTTCAGGGTCATCCTCGGCATCCTTAGCATAGCGAAATAATAGATCAGTATTATGAACATCTACCTTTAAAAGGCAACTCGGCATAACCACTTAATTAGTAGCATCAGAGGCAAAACAACAGACTAACCAGCCTAGACTGGACTGCCAGATCCCATCTGTACAGTAACTGAAGCAATCTGTAACTGGTCACAGCAAGGCCAGAGCGAATTGTAACAGAGTAAACAGAAGCACATCATACTAAAGATGACAAAGGTACAACGGGGTACAATCTGCGCTTTGTGGTCCACGCCACGACACAAAAATTCATTTTACCTCTCTGACATCAACCATCCATCCTCCATCCACAAACAGCAACACATTGTACATTTTCTCTTTCACATCAGCTGTAAGAGCATCCAAGAGGCCTTTCCAAATACTATAGTCCATCTGGCAAAGAAACAAAAAATAAACTGCAGCAGAACAGGATAATTTCCAAGGCTATTTTAACACAGACACTTCACCTAGCATGCAACAGCCAGCACAGTTCTAATTAAAATCAGAATCTTCAGCCAACTGCCAAAGCCTAAAAGCCTGCTGCTAACAGCTATTTCCATCCTTGCTTAATTCCCTGTCCAGAGAGTCAGGCAGGTTCTTCAGAAGTTGTCGAAGCCACTAGAGGAAGATAATTTTAAACAACTTACTCTGCCATGCTTATATAACAAACACTCGTATAAACTGAGTACGGTGTATTCAGACTGGCTAGACATGTGAAAAGAACCTTCGGCAAAACCAACAGAACTGCTGCGTCTTTTAGAGAAGAAAACGTGACAAATGCGAGAACACAAGACAGCCGTCACCCTCCATTGCCAGGGCTAATAGCAAAATCAAGTACTCAGATTTTTTTAATAACACTGACAATCAACACATTATAATGAATATTTACTATTTCATTATACAACACTATACGTAAAGGTGAGTCATAAGAGAAAAGCATGAGAATTTATTGGGCAGTGGCATTACTATTCTCTCTCATACTCCCTCTTTTCAACACAAAAATAGAATAATTTATAATAGAGTTCCCAAGTAATATGAATTAGCAGTCTTCTACTCTGTTTCATTAAACTAAGACTTGCCTCCTAAGAAAGAACATAAATGTTCGTAGTAAATAACAACCTGAACCCTTACCTACCTCATACTTCTTTTCTTTATGTTCGTGGGCCACTTTTTCAGTGAAAGTTGCTTGTGGTAACAAAGAAGGCTCCTGTGGAGCCGAGTTCATGTGTTTAAACCACTCATTGAAGGTTTCGTGGGCTTCCTGCATTGCATTGGAAACAGTGTTTTGACATTTTTGACTCATTTATATAATTACAAGAATATCATGAAATGCACAAAAGCCAAAAGTTACTTCTAAGTGTAAAAAGAACCTCACTATTTTGTAAACTCTCAGCTATAGTGCATCCAGCAATCAGAAATTAAATCAAATGGACAAAGCTTAAAAGTTTCACCACCAAGACAAAGCCGCCATTATTTCCAAGTAATAACTTCGAATACAGCATTTGTGAAACTCACCAAATACGCCCGAATACATAAATGTTCCCTTATAGCATTGTCATCTTCAGCTGGAAGTGGAGTATCCATTCCATGTTCTTCCCATTGGTTATATATTTCTGCTATGGAGTCTTGGGGAATCTTCACAAACACATCTTTCGCAGCTTCATGTTTCTTGGATGCTAGGAGAACATGAACTGAGTATCAACAGCTTTGCCATTTCCATACTTTGTTTTTACAAACTGACAAGCCCGTGCTTTTTAATAGACTAGATTCAAAGTTACAGCAAATGGAGTGCCAAGAGCCAATGAGAACAAACCCAACATTTAAAAAGTCTACAATATTTGTAAAGTTTAGTACCCAGGAACTTCCTCATGATTGCATTGCTTTGCTTAAGTGCTTCTGCCCTCTGTGCAGGATCAAACACGAGCCAGTCAATTACATCTATTTTCAGCCGATCCGCCTGTAAAAACCAACATATAGATTCACTAACATTTCAAGCATACAGCTGATGTTAGACACATTAAATCTGGTCAATGAAACACACGAGTTTCTAGAGATCTTTGGATAGCATTATGATGTACCAACAAGGATCGCTTTACTCACAACTTTAGTATCAAAAGCTTAGAAAACAATCTCTGCAATCCGGAATCATTCAAAAATCCACTTCTAAATATTTCCAAGACATTCAGACCAATGGATGAGCATCAGCTCTCAAAAATGTCTATGGATTACAATGCATCTTCCTCAAACTTTAATATGAATATACTGTACAAACATGGTTTATGGAGCATCTTCAGGGGTGCCAGCAGCCTGCAACCACAGTTTCCCAACTCTTGTGTTAGATAAACTACCTATTTGGCTTAGAAAGTTTAAAATGCACTGAAGAGCAAAAAAATTGCCTTAAGTTTGTGGACTATCAGTTGCTTTCTAAACAGTACTTTGCATGCAAGCTCCTAACCTCACTGTCACTAAAGTACTGACCTGGATCCAACTAACACTGAACAGTGATGACAAGGAAACTGTCAGTAAAGGCAATGTCTGCCGTATTCAGCATATGACACTTGAACATGCAGCAAGGTATATCTGAGATCCAAAGTTTTAATCCTCATAATTCTTAGAAGCTACAATAATATCCTAGTCTCAGCTACAATCTATTTTGTTGCAGTCATTTCATGGGCTTTATCTTCACTTCTTGTTTGTATGAGGACACGCTGCTGAGCCACATATACCACAGCACAGAAGATCAAGGAGATGTAGAAACAGAAGTTAGGAATTCATGCAATTCAACTCCTCACTTGATCACATGGGAAGTGCATTGCCCTCACAGGCTTTTTCAAGGCAATTTCCACCACCGTTGAAAGAGAAATATGGATCATACATGGTAAAAGACTCCACAGTTGATTGCAAACTGGAGTATCTGCCTTACAAAGTATACTCACCTCCGTTGTGCCTGTATCTAACATATGGTCATGGTGACTGAATTCACCAGCATCCTTCTTGCGGATGTTTTCAACGACGGTTTTTGTTATGGTTGCAACATCCAGACCTAGGTTAAGAGAGAACCATGTAACAGTGCTCAAGAATTCAAACTTGCCACAAAATGAATTTCAGACTCCAGTTGTTGATCTTATTCCTTACCATCAGTGATTCTTACCAGTCTGTTCACATTCCCATTGTCAGACTAAATTACAAGCTTTTGAGAGACATAATTTATTGTAGGTGTTTTAGAAGAACGGTATTTGAGATAACAGAGAACATCAAACATGGAAAAAAGAATAAGAAAACTAGTAAGTTTTTCAGTCTGTGCTGGGCACCAGCATACAGATATATTTGCTAAGACCACTGATTCCTACAATTCTGATGGCACGACTATGATTTGACAGGAACGTACCAGGAAAAGCTCAGAATAGTTCTTTTGCAGATGCTGAAGCAGGATGTTTTATTTTCAAAATTTTAGCCAAGTTTTCAAAACAAAGTGACTAAAAAAAATTATTCTGCAGTAGATCTACTTCTTTGTGAATTCTGAGTGGTACAG